CTCCAGAATCTGCACACGTCCAAAGGGCTGATGAGGCACCTTTTCCCATTCGCTCGGAAAAAACAGCAAGCTCAGACGAGAAGTGACGAGCGCCTGTCAGACGCGCTGTGACACGCATTTTGTCAAAATCTTGAAGCAGTGTCTTGGTGGTAATCTGTGGCCAGCCAGCCTGTTAATCTTCATGTGACCCCGTCAGACCCAAATCAAACAGATGCTGATAAAGTTCCATAAGAGTCTTAGAGTTTTTTGGTCCCCTTTGTCCTCAGATGTTTGTAACAAGCCCAGTGTCCTTCTCTTCTCAACAATGTCCTCTTACTCCAACTGATGTAAACACTATCGACTGGGAGAAATGCGAAGTTCTGTTATTGTGTGATATTCAGCTAAGAAGCTTAATTTGCCGAGCAAAAGCACCACAAAACGTTAACGATGCTCAGACTGTAACCACACCTATGACTGTACTAACTTACAAACTTAACAAGTAAGGTGGCAGTTAGGTGCTTCATTTATTTGCCATGATTTTGCAGTATCAAACAAGAAAACAATGTAAAACTGATCATTTAAAAAACACTTATAAAATCCAGCCAATCTTTTCCAGGTTGAAACTTATCTAGACGATCACTCTGTTGTTAATTTGGATTTGTATGAACAACAACCAGTCCTGTGTCTTTTAGGAGGTTAGAACCAACGGAGGTGTTGTTAGCTGCAAATCATCAGCAACATATCATCATAGAAATTCACTGAAAAATGTACCTATTGGCTGTAATAAGTAGAGCAAGGACTTGTATTTATGTAGACCTCACTGATGCTGTTTTATATAAAGTATAACATTCATATGGTGCATCAAGTAGTTAACCCAGTGCTTCTTGGGATTCAAACAAATCACAGTGTCTAATAAACCAAGAGACTTTAACAGCCTAATGTTTGAGGTGCACACTGAATAAATGCAAAGGCCCTGGTTTAATTTAAGACTGTGGCTAAAAAATTAAAGATTACACGACAGCCAGAAGTCAGAGAATCTTAAGTGTGAGTGCAGACCAGACGGGAGATGAAGGTTTGTGTTCGACATGCTGCTGCTAAAATGCTTTTCTTTCTATATATTTTTTAGAACTTAACAGTTACATAAGCGTATTATCAATGCATATGCTTGGCAGTATGGTGATAATGTTTTTATTTATGGTGTTTAAGAGTGTAAAATGTTCTACTTGTCAGAGGATTGGGCTCTCAGCAGTGCTGACATATCCTGTGGAGTGTGTCTTTAACATCTCTAAACGTCTTCCTCATTATACACTTGCTGTATTTGGTGCTTACTTGTGCTTTTTTTTTTTTTTTTTTCCTGCTGAGCCAAACACCAGCTCATCACTCTTATCTGACTGACTGAGTGACTGACTGACCATGTCGGCCCTTCTGTCCCTGCAGCGGCTCTCGGTATCGTCCTGACCAGTGGTTGTGCTACATCCAGACACTGCCAGCAACAAGAGCTGCCAGGGGTGCGAATCCACTGCTGTGACTCAGACCTATGTAACAGCACCCCCTTCTGGCATCCCGGCACACTCCACTACGTCTGTGCACTGTTCAGCCTCCTGCTGCTGAGGATGTGGTTGTGATGGGATCCTGAGAGCAGCAAAACATCAGCGGACTCTTCTCTTAGCTGCTCACGTTTAGGGCCGAATGAGAGTTGTGTGCTGTTACTGGTGAGCACCTTGGAACGGCTTTCGTCACATTGTTAGCTCGGACTCGCAGTGACAGCGATGGTTAAACATAACTGTGAATAAGATTGATCAAAATAAAGACGGAGCAGCTTGCAGTCATCAGTGAATTCATTGTGCACATCCACTCACGTACATATAGCTTAAAGTATGGAATATTACGGAGCATCTGTTGCCATGACAACATCATCTTTGTTAGAGTCATCATCAGTCAGTCCATAAAAAGTTTTCACCTTATATGAGCAAAAACAGAAACACGCTGACTTCAGTTTTATAAAAAATCCACTTGTCCAAGAAGACACACATTCCTTCTGTCTGTTGAGGCGTTCACTATCTTTTTCGAGATCAAATCGTTCGGTGGTACGTTATACTATAAAGTCACGAGCTGTTTACTTTGCAAAATGAAAGATATTTTTTTTAGTTTGCTGTGCAGTCCTTCAGGCAAGGCTTTGGAAAGCACACTGCATGTGGTTCTTCTATGTATGACTGTAAGAAACCTTGTTCAGTGAAAGCATGTAATGTTGTGAGTTATTGTATTAAAATGTTTCATACTTTTCAAAAGAAAACTGGTTTGAACTTTGCTGTTTTTATTATACTAAGACATCATTGCCACAGATTACACTTAATGAGAGCAGTTTAAAATGAAGGAATTCAAATTAAGATGATTGACATGATGAACAGTCGACTGATGGAAGCTGAATGTAAGTGTTTTTGTATACATATGACAAATCAATCAATCAATCAATCAATCAAACTTTATTTAAAAAGCACTTTTCATACCTGGAATGTATCACAAAGTGCTGTACATTACAAAACACAATCAGGAAGTGATCAGGGGATACAAAATAAAATACAAAACCCCACACACCCTCCCAGCCCACATTTAACACAGAATGCCACTCACGCACACTCACACACACACACACACACACACAGACACGCACACACAGGGACACCAAGTCAGGTCTCTACAGGAAGCCACAGAGGACCGAGGAAACGCTATCTTGAATTAAAATGGGGAAACACAGGAGCAAAAACTAAAATGATAAAATCATGAGATATACAAAACTAATAAAATGCTAAAAATAAAAAAACTGTTTAAAACCAAACTATAAAAGAAAGTAAATGAAAAGTATTAAAACATAAAATAGTAACTCTGACACTTAAGTGGAGTAAAATACATAAGATTGAAGGAGTAGACTAAAAGAGAGGCTAAAAGAACGAAACCAAAATCAGCTAAAAGCCAGATTAAAAAGGTAGGTCTTGAGTTTGCCCTTTAAAAATATGAATGTGAAAAATGTGTAAAGCTGACATAAAATAATTACAATAACAACAATTTTACAATATCTTAAATAAAACAGAAGTATAATGGGACGACTTATTATTTACATATAAGGTAAGTTGTTACAACCAGTGGACATTTATGCACTTATATTATTGAAGTCATTTCCACAGTAAGGCTGCAAGGTGGCCCAGTGGTTAGCACCGTCGCCTCGCAGCTAGAAGGTCGCCAGTTAGGACACCTGGGATCTTTCTGCGTGGAGTTTGAATGTTCTCCCTGTGCAGCGTGGGTTCTCTCCAAGTTCTCCAGCTTCCTCCCACACAGTCCAAAAACATCCATCCATCCACTATCTATACACTGCTTAGTCCTCACTAGGGTCACGGGGGGGCTGGAGCCTATCCCAGCCGACTTAGGGTGAAGGCAGGGGTCCAAAAACATGTTGGGGTTAATTGGTGATTCTAAATTGTCCGTAGGTGTGAATGTGAGTGTGCTTGGTTGTCTGTCTCTAAGTGTAGCCCTGTGATAGACTGGTGACCTGTCCAGGGTGTCCCCTGCCTTCACCCTGAGTCAGCTGGGATAGACTCCAGCCTCCCCTAGTGAGGATTAAGCGATGTATAGGTAATGGATGGATATCAAAAATGATCATAAACAAAAAATAAAATCTGTACTCACAAAACAGTGCTGAGGCAGAAAATATGTCCACCACAAGGGTATTTTTTGGTGGAATGGATTCTGTCCAGCTCCAAATGTTTATTAAACAGCTCTCACCGCTGCTTTCCTTATGCTGATTATTCTCTCTGAATTTAAAAAACATTTTTCCACTTAACACATTGACAGATTTCCTACAATCAAGTGTGAAGCCAATCAACCCAAGACAAATGCCATCCAAAAAAACAGAAAGAAAAACTGTGATGTATCTCACTGGAACCCTTTTCCATGCATTATATCTCAACAATAGACACTCTAAGAAGTCATTTAAGGGACCTATTCCATCCAATAAATAAAATATGTGGTTGCAAGATTAAAAATAATTCTAATTTACTGATTTAGACACACTTTCTAAGTTGCACACTTTATTTTGATGGGTTGATTTGACATAATAATGTTGGTAATTGCATCAACTTAAAATCATGTGTAATTTAAACAGTTTTTTTTGTGTGTGTTAATTGATTAATACAAAATTTAGTTGAGGCAACTTAATAAAATTGACTTGATAACTTAATTTTTCTTCACCTTGATTCAGGATTTCAAGTCCACCTCCCTATGTTGCCACATCAGAGGGTTAAGACTGGTAAATACAAACACATTTGCTTGCAGATGAAAAGCTAATTCCCCAAACTCAGTGGAGTTTTCTGGTTGAACAAACAGTAATATGAATAATAATTATTCTAGTAATGATGATTAGAAATTGGATCATTAAAAGTTGTCATAACTCAGAAAGATTGATGCACACTGTGGTGTTAATTTACTTTGTTGAGCCCAAACATGTTTTTTTTCAGTGTACAACAAATGTTCAAATTAATTGAAATACTTATTGTTATTCTTGTAAACCCATTTAAATTATTATTTTGACGTTTTGTGCATGTATGATATTGTTTTATTCAACTATTAAAACATCTATTGAATTTTATGACTTTCTTTTTTTATAAGGACCTCACACAGTAGTTGTTGCCAAGGCAACTAATTTCTAGGCCATACAATCTCCAAGGCGAAATTTCAGAATCAGGTCAAGCAGGTGCAGCTAATTAAATCCTTGAATGTTCAGACTTGCATTTCCTGATTTCACCTAAGTGATGATTTCACATCAGATAATCGGCATCAAGTGGGAGAAATCCTAATTAATTTAATAATCGCCGCAGGGAACTTGCTTTGTCAACAAGCCGGCGCCGTGTGGATGAATACACCTGAGAAGGTGGCTGCTCTGAACCGAGCAGTGCACACTATTGGTGCACAAACCGCAAATCGCCGCATACGAGGCTCTTTGTCCCAGAAGCCCATTGTATAGAGCGGAGGAAACCCTGTGCCGTGAGCAGCCATCTTGGACAGACAGATCATACTTGAGCCAGGATAACCTGCATACCTCCTCTGAATTCTGAACAGCTCCACAACACACAGCTCTAAAGACTTAATTTCTGGTAAGGACAGAAAACGGGGAACACCTGAACACACTCGCACACACGAACACACTGTCTAATAAACGTAGAGTCACTAATATTGGAATTCTGAGACAGCTGGAAGTGCTTAGCTATCCTGTGTTTGCCAGGAGTTAGCTTAGAGGAAAGCTAGCGACGCTAGCTAACAGATGGCTAACGATAGGTTGGTGTCTGTCATTAGGTTCCAGGAATATGAGATAACACACATTAAACAGTCAGAGAATACTACCGCAGGCGACACAAGTCTTAGCCAGCTTGAGTAAACAAGGTAATTTAGCTACGTGACTGCCATTAGCTGATAAACTAGCCTGCTAAAGCTATCGCTAGCTGTCGTTAGTTTGGTGTATGGTGGCTTTTGTGAAATTAAGCCAAATTAATTTTCTTACCTGGATGTGTTAAATAATGGCATTGAATGGATTATTTGTGTGCTGATAGAGGCAGCTGACCTGGGTGTTGTGATTTATGGGGGTTTGTTGTCAAGATGCATCCGTTGATGGCAGCAAGCAGGTAACTAGCTAACGCAAACTTAGCTGTCAAAACAGCCCATTTAGGGCCGCGAGTTTTATCAGAAACGATCATCTAGCTAGCTAACCAAGTCAATGTCGGGTTTTATTTCCCCTTCCGCTTAGTAACGCGACTGGCATTTTGTGATCTAACTAATAACTAAGAAGTAATCAAACCGACGCTGTCATTTTGCCGGTGGTTAAGCTAACGGTAGGCTAGTCACCGTAGTTATGGAACAGGCATGACGTTACAGTGTTAAATTAAAGAGTTAACATTAGACACTCCTGTCGGATTTGTTGTTTGATTTGATCTTCCCCTTTAATACCCGTTTCTTGTTGTGAAATTACTGCAATGTTGTGCTGATCTTTAGTGCCGCGTAGCATAGAAGAGCCAACGCTAATTCCTTAGCTAATGTTTTGTTAGCCTCCTCTTTGCTTTTGCTTTTCCAAACTATACATGTGTGTAATTTAAAACCAGAATTTGGCGATAAAGTAAATCATTGATGCATCGAAATGTTCCAACTCTTTATAGAGCTGATCTTATCAATCATAAAATGCTGCATCATTCTATTTCTTGTGCCAGGTTTGTGTATTTAGCAGGTTTAATCTGACAGTACTACAACTGTATTACTTGTTGTTCTTCTGTGTTGGTTTTGTTTTAATCCTGTAACGGAATCATCATCATTTTTGTGCTGTCATTAATTTGTATGTCATGTCATGTTGCGCTCATGCCTGTTGGTACCAGTGTTGATGTCCCATTTGATTGTTTTTATAGCTTGTGGAGTCACATGATTTAAATAGTAGGCCTGGATATTGTGGTGAGAGTGTGACTATACAGTGTATGTGTCATGATTTCTTAAGATCCCAATTTTGAGTTTCACAGACGTCATCCCTGAGGTACGGCTGTTGAAAGGAGGAAAGGCAGTGCTACTGTTTTTCTGGAGAACGATTCAGTGTGTTGGGGAGTAACTGAGAAGTGCTGAGGCTGCAGTCTGGTCACATGGACTTGACTCGCCTTCTCCTTGATGGATACTCGAGGGGTTTATGCGCTCAAAAGACTGGAAATGGGGTTGAGCATCACAACTGAAACACATTTTGTTTTTTTTGTTCTTGCTGGTGATAACTACTTTAATAGATTAGCGCCCTATCACACTGGGGATAGAGGGGCCACATGAGGGTCATGTGACAAGAGGCAGCCTAGAAAAAGGCCATGAATCGTTAAGTTGGGAGTTTTAATGATGGCAGAGAGCAGCAGTCATGGCCTCTGTTTTATCCTTAAACTAGAATACAAAATCAGTGTGTGGGACAGTGCGATTCCATGCACATCCTTTACTCGTATCACTCAGGATAGTTGATGAAATTGATTCCTAGACAGGAAGAGTGAAATTATTCTAGAGTCCTCCTTAAAATTAGCTCATGTAACACTGCAGCGTAAACAACCTTTTAATAGCGAGTCTACACTTGCCATGATATCAGAGTTGATCACATTTTTTAGCACAGTTAGTCCCTATAGCATGTACTGTTGTGAGTTCATACAGACTGCTCTTAGCTTCAGTTACCTAGCTGTTGTTAGCCAGAGTAATTACCAAATCTCAGGTCATGTTGCAGAGTTTGTGGAGGACTGTGTGTGAGCCAAGTCTTTTCTTGGGCCACGAGCAAAAACACAGTCACAGAATGCCCTGGTAGCCCTCTAAGCTGTTTACACGGCTTCAAATAATGACATTTAGCAGCTCTTGCTCTTTCAGTAAAGTATGTTTTGAGTTGTCTTAGCTTTATTTGTATTACCAAATGCATTTTAACATAATTTAGCGTTTTGCAAAGGTTTGTTATTCTCAGATTTTCAGTGTTTTTTTGTCACCCAGGTTTAGGTGGCACCTTTCATCGGAATACCCCTCAACTAAGTAGCCCTGTAGCTACTCTTAACTTCCTGTCCAGCAAATACATGTCTCTGGAAATCTATATTTCACCCATTTACTTACTTTTCTTATGCTATTGATCCTTTTTCTGTTTATTCACTTGCTCTATTTCCTGTCTTTTCTCTTTAGCTTCCCCTATCACACCCCCGTCCACTTTTCTTGTGGTTGTGTCAGCATTAATCTGTCCAGTCAGACATAGGCGCTGAAATGCAGATGTGGAAGTATGAGCATAACATCAGCACTGGGGCTTTGATTTGCCACAGTGATTTCAGTTCCAAGAAACTGCTGTGACTGCAGCACAGTTTTCACTGAGCTTCAGATTAGCGGAAAAAGCTCTTGTTTAAGGCAGACGGACTGTATTTGCCGTGGACACAGAAACCCATCAGGCTGTTGAATGATTATCCTTTTGATTAAGTCTGAATTATTTATTTCTCTACACCAGCACCTCAATACAAAATTAAGAAGCAGCCTTAATTCAGAAAATAGCCTCGACGCCAGAAGACGGTATTGTACAAAGTGAATTTTATGTTGAAATCGATCATGTGGAAAAACTGCACATTCTCAAAAGCATCTTTACTGATGCCATACCTCACCAGATCATTTATTTATGAGAAGATCTCTGCGAGTTCAAAAAGCTCGCCCCTCCGTTGCTGTGTAGCCCGTGTTTTTGTGTAAAAGCTCGTTTTAGACCAGCAGTGGTGGTAAATCTGAGGAATTTCCCTGCGTGCGTTGTCAGTGTGGCGTGAATTGAATGCGAACAATGAAGCATCACCAGGTACCAGATAGGTGTCAGTGCTATTTTTAGCTTTGAGCCTATGATGCTGGAGGTATTCTTGCGAACATCCCGTGCTATCCAAGCTAGCCAGCATCACTGCTTCTCTGTCAGTATGAGAAGTCACAGAGTGGAGACAGCAGGTTCCTTCTAAAGAGGGGTGGCTCACTGACCGCTGAAAAGCATTCTTCTCTCCTTCATGTTAGAAAAGCTCCGTCACCTCGCTTGGCCTGCCGATGTAAGGCTGTTGTGACTATTAATACTGCGGATGCGTCTCGGGGATTGTCTGAAATGAGGATGCAGCAGGCAAACTTGCACACAGCATATATTAAACAAATATTACCAGTCTTGGAATTATGTTGACTGTAAAACTATAATGTATAGCATAGAAAGTAAGGGGAAAAACAGCCCTGCATATGATCAGGTTGTTGTAAAATTGGACATATGGTGCAGTCAAGATATTTTATTGGCTCCGTTTACAGGTGTTGTTGGTGATTGCCAGTCACTCCTTCCATTTCAGCGACTGTGTCTTGGGCCCCATAAACTATCCACAAAATGCCGTTGATTTTGTTTTTCCTCAGGCCAAGTGAATTTTGGTGCAGAATGTTAAAGGTGACGTGAGTTCATGCTCTTTCATGTTAGTCCTTTTATGTGAAGCCTGCTGACTTAAGCTTCGGAGACAGCCATAGCAATTTGGCACCGCATCACCTGTTAGGTTGTATTATAGGTGGATGGCTGGATACACTCCATGGTTAAATTGAGAAATATTGGCTCGGATATGGAACGCAAATTAAATTTGGACTCCACTAAGAGATGAGTTTTTGTCACTTTTGTTGTAGTAACAAAGTCGAATGAACAGGAGTCATGAAGGAATAATTGCACATTTTTTTTTAACCTAGTAGGTCGTAGTGGGATGCCTATTGGTTGAAAGGATTCAGTGGAATAAATCTGTGCTCATGTTTACGTTTGCTGTAAGTTCTAAGGTTTTAGTGCTCGTGTCAAGTGCCCTGAGATGATGATGGGAATTGTCACTATAAAAATTAAATTTCATTGATTAGGTGAACAGTCAGTTTGACACACAGTGTTAAGGATGCATTTACATTTTATAGACTTCCAGTAGTGTCATTGGTCAATACCCTTTTAAAGTACATGATTATAATTGGTTTCCCATCTTATTTCTTTATTTAGGCATAAATATGAAAGGTGTCTAAAGTGTCAGGCGTTGTGATATCCCCTACAATCAATTAATCAATAGCATGTTTATCACATTTATGTTGGCAAAGATTAATTTTTTTAAATTGTTGTGTACAAAAACTAGCTACTTTCTCATCATGCATTTGGATTGAAGCAACATTTATTTAGCATTTAATCATATAAACAGTTTGTTTTGACATCAGTTATTTTAGGAAATCAGAATGAAACCACTTAATTGCTGACGGCCTTTGCATTTCCAAACAAAGGCTTTTATCAGATTGAGTTGTCTTATTTCATACCTTGTTTTTGTTTTGTTGGAAGCCTCTACTAGTACTGCTGGCTCTGAACATTAGCAGCTCTCTACTGTCTGACACTCAGCTCCTGGTCTGTGTGAATCCAGTAGTTGCTCGATGAAGATGCTAGATTGCTATTAGCGTGAAATAACTAAGTAAACTGGACAGCTGCCAGACAAAAACTCAGAGGGATTTGCACAGCTTCATGCTGATGAATTCCTCAAATTGTGTGGCTCTCACTGGACATCAGCAAACACACCTGTAACTCCGTCTCATTAAATAGTAACAGACTACATGACTGACGTGTACATGGCCATTTATATTGAAGGATGTACAGAACGTGCTGTGTTTTCATTTACAACCACATATGCTTCATTTTTATCCTATTCTGTGTACGTTGCATAAGGTATGAATACACTGATTTGTATACACTCTTAAAATGCTTTATTCTTTTCCTCACTCATAACATTGCCCTTGAAGGTTTTAATGTTTACCTGCTCTCTCTCTTTCAGAGCCACAATGGCCACTGCACCGTACAACTACTCCTACATTTTCAAATACATCATTATTGGTAAGTGAATACTGCAGCTAACCATGATTTTGATTTAGCCATATGTACTATAGATTATAGAAATGAGCTATTGGCCATTTGAATAATTAATCACACAATTACTAAATCACTCTCATTGAGCTGTCAGCTTTTGAATGTAGATTGAGGTTACTGTAGGCATGTGCTAACTGACAAAAAGGAGAATAAAGATGCTGGTTGAATACTTTAGTAGTATCCTTGTTAATGTGAATTGTTGCCACACCACTGCGGTTTTAAATACCCAGCTTCATTATATCATGTTGAAAAGCTGTTAAACCCAGCAGCTGGAACCAGAATGGGCAGACAGCACCCTCTCATGCTGGGCACATAAAGAGAGCCAGTAAAGAGACAGACAGACAGAGGTGTTAAAATCTTTATGGATTTTTTGACGGTCCAGTGGCTCGCTAATGTCGCGGCCGGTAGGCTACATCACTGCAACTAAGTGTTGTTTTAGACATTAAGGTAGGCTCCAGTAGTTTCTGTGGTAAGTTCCTGAGGACGAGGCGCTCGCTGGCTGCACTCTTTCCAACCACACTGCCTCCACTGTCAGTGCATTCCTAAAACACATGGAATGACGTCAACAACTAATGTACAATTACATTTACTGGCAACTTTACGTGGTCATCAATATCAATATGGCTGCACTGAGAGAGAATGCTGAAGAAGACGGGTGTGGAGACTCTCCAGTGAGCATTATCGATAAACTTGTGGGAGCAGATTACAGCTCGTACATGTATTTCCTTGCTTACAGTTCAAGGTCCAAATAACTTTATGGTGTAGAGCCATGTCTTTTTTTTTTTTTTTGTCCTTATGCAGTTTTCTTGGTTTGAAATTATCTTGCCATATTTCTACCCGCTGTGCTTCCTAACATGAGACATCCAAGTAGACACATTGCCGCTTTTGACTCTTTTATCTGTACACATTTATAGACAGGCATAAACACGTACACCCACAGCTCTGAGTTGTTTATACTCATGTCAAACTTAAAACCCACTGCCTCAAAACTTAATGCTCAGCTTGGATCTGAGGAGGCTGAATGAATAAGTCAGAAGAGCAGCCTTGAGAGACATGGGCGGGCTGATTGACTTTATTTCATCATGTTGAACAGTGAAAGAAATGATTGGGAAGTTTTTAAGATCCTGCCTGTTGGATTTGATAATCAAGTTATTGATTTTGTCAATGTTATGTAGCTCTAACACAAATGAATGTATAATTTGCTTAAAGCATTAAGAAGTACTCTGGAGTCACAGATTGCTATAAATACACCAGGGGACATAATAAACACATCAATTAAAGACAAAAAAAGCTCTCTTCTGCTCTGTCTTTCTCTGTCTCTCATAAGTCCACATGAAATTTTCAGTGTTGTTGCTGACTGCTACATCATGCATGGTGGCAACACAGCAGAGTCGAGTAGAGAATTGTTGTTCTTCTGCCGTTTCCTTGGTTAACCTGAGCTTCTCTTCCACAGGGGACATGGGGGTAGGGAAGTCATGTTTGCTTCACCAGTTCACAGAAAAGAAATGTAAGTACTGCCCTGATTTTTGACTCCTTTTCGTCTGCGCCTCAGCGGCGTGTCAGGTTGCCAGGTTGAACCGGAGTGCCGAAATCGCTTTAGATTTCTTTTTTACGCCGGCGGAAGTCGGTGGCATAGAAGTGGAGTGTGAGCTCAACAGTGAGAGTCTCTTCTTCTGTGTATGAGCCAGCTGCAGCCTCCCATTTACCATTCAGCTCAGTTTTGTTTAGCGCTACTATTAACAAGCCAGATGCTGTGTTCCTCATTCACTTGTCCACGATCACATCCTGCCCATGCTCACACACTCGCACACGTACACACTGGGCTGATTTAGAAAAAGGTTTGAAGACATTTGATACTTTCTGGGTGTTTATACTGTCAATTTAGACAATTCAGCAGCTCTAAAGACTGTTATTAATTATTGATGCAACTGCTGCTGCCTTGTATTTGAAACAGAGACAAGAGAAATGAGCTAAAACTGGGAAAAACATTTTAACTTTGTGTCGGCTTAAAAGTTAAGGATGCAGCAGAACAAAAACAGTTTCAGGCAACAGTGGAATTTATTGACATAAAGAATCAAATTGAATTTACTTTATCCTCACTTCCTCTCCCCAGTCATGGCAGACTGCCCTCATACAATTGGCGTGGAGTTTGGTACGAGGATAATCGAGGTGAGCGGGCAGAAGATCAAGCTGCAGATTTGGGACACAGCAGGACAAGAGCGTTTCAGGGCCGTCACCCGCTCCTACTACCGCGGAGCCGCAGGGGCACTTATGGTCTACGACATCACCAGGTACGGGAGGCTTTTCATGTTTTTAATGTATGTGGGAAGTACACAGTAGGTTTCCACTCGACACCAGCACTTTCATCGTGTGTGTGTGTGTGTGTGTGATAGCCATCTAGTGCATTTTCAACAGCGTATAGGCAAGAGGAAGTTAAAGGAAAGCAAAAGCATCTGATAACGCCACAGTCCACCCCAACAGACTCCCTCCTGAACAAATACGAAGAGTTTGTTCTGCAGCTTGTGTGCAACCTTCTTGGCCAAACTTTCAGGGTTATGCCAAACAAATACAGTTCAACATGTGGAATGTCTGTCCAAACAGCACCCAACTCCAACACAGGCCCCCTGGGATAGAAAAACAGTACTTAGCTGGAAAGGCTAACATGAATTGTTAGCTAATGTACAGCTTCTGATGTACAAAAATGAGAGAGGAGTGTTTGTCCTGTCACACATGGTTGCTTTGAATACACAGCTGATCATATCCATGTCCCGTAATTGAAGGGTGTGACTTTAATAACAGTATTTTCTGTTTACATAATATTCCCTGTAGGTTAAGTTTCATAAAGTGAAGCATGGTCTAGTCCTGTTTGGAGAGCACCATGGGTTGGAGTCCATGGGACTGATGTTGGAGTGGGGATGTGTCTTGACCAGACTTCAAAGCAACTAATGCTAGGGAGAATTTATTTATATTTTTGGACCAGGTCCTCGTTCACTTCGATGTTTGGACATGGTGGTCGACATTGGGATCAAAATGTAATATTCATAAAGTGGTACACTTGTTGGAAAATGAAAATTTAGCCGTACAAAACTTAATGCATTTCCCCTATGGTAAGTGACACCAAAGTGGTTCCCGTAGTCTTGAATGCATCCATAGCTCCCACATTCTTTACTGCGCCGTGATCTCCTTTATTATGTTGCAGCTGCTGCCTCTTTTCTGATTCCTCAAAGATGGCAGGATGTTATGTCTTTGCTGGTTGTCATAGTAACCTCTGTCCCTCTGCCGTCATGCAGGAGAAGCACGTACAACCACCTTAGCAGCTGGCTGACTGATGCCAGAAACCTCACCAACCCCAATACTGTGAGTACACAGATGACCACGTTTTCTGTGCGTCATGTGAGCTCTGTGTGGCTTTAAGCTGCATGACCCTCACGTTTAAAGTGTCTGTCCTCATATACACACCTCTATACGTATTGTCGTTTTCCCCGTGTAATCCTTAGTTCTTTCAGTTGGGTCCTTGTCACTTGTGCTGCGTCGCTTCTCCTGTTTCTCCCCCGTCTTGTCCTCCCTTGGATCTTTATGAGCCCACAGAGCTCTGTCCATTTCTTAAATTGGTTTTTCCCGGTAAATATGATTAGTCCGCATTCGTCCTGCTCACTTACAGAGTTCTGTGTTCCATCAGAGGAGTGTGTTCGTCCAACACGGCGCTTCCTTTTCATATTTCTCGCATCAGCTTAGAATTGTTTTGTTGTTGTTGTTAAACCAAAAGAGACTTATTTATATTTAGACACTATGATACACATGTCTGAGTTTTGTCTGGAGCCATGTTTTGCTAATTTTTACTGACAAATAATACCTCAGAGTAAACTCGACTGTGGCCTTGGGGTGACGCAATAGCCCAGTCTTCAGGGTGCTATTGCCATGAGCAGCGAGTCCTTGATTCAAATCCTGACCAGCCAGACCATTTGCTGCACATCACTCCCCTGCACTTCCTACCATATTTCCTATCTCTCTCCTCTGTCTCTATTAATAAAGGCACATGATGAATATGAATGATGTTTAGACTCCACCTTCAGACGACTCACTTTCCATGATAAGAGTCACAACAGAGTTTTTGCCCATCTTACCACATGCCACCCAGCATAACCCTTTAACTTTGTTATTAACTCATAATAAAGGCTTATTAGTGGTCACTGAGGGGGAAAAAAGCATTTACACATTTACAAACATGCTAATATGATAAATGCATTTCTTTCATGGTACAATAGAACAAAACCTGTCCTTACTTTTATCTTAACAAGGCTTTTTCTTGTTGTGGCCAAGTGGTGGCACTGTTGTGCTGTAGTCTGACCAAAGGGTGACATCTGGCTATTTGAAATAGTAATGAACATACTGGGTTTTTTTTTTTCTAA